CTTTACCACCTCCTTCCCACCAAGTATTTGGATACTATCTCTGTGATACTTGATGAGATCTTCAAACACACAGCTAGCCTTTGATTCCTCTGGTAGAAAATTAACTACTAATTAATGCTGCATGTTAGAACTGAAAAGTTTCTGCTGTAAAAAATAATCTTCATGAATTAAGTAGTAATGAAATGTGAACTTTGAGTTAAAGGTGGTAACTGTCATCTATGCACAAAGTTTTGTTTTATTCATATTTTTATCACAAAATGTGATCTTCTTTCTGCCTATTTTATAGATACAACTGTCATTAAATATACCCTTGTCTCAATAAGTTCAATAACTTTATTCACAGAATATTTTCTGGATATATGTGTGGCCAATGATTCTGGTTGATTAAAACTTTGCTAATAAGACCAACATCTTGTTCTTAGTTCCATGGGCCATTTAGCTGTGCTGTGATCCCAGCCACAGACTCCATGCTACTCCCAGCCATTCATCTCAGCAGGACATGCTTCTGGTCCCAACAGTGACTAGATAAAACAAAATGAACTAGAGCAAATTTAGCTCCAGTCCTTGAGACACAACTCAAAGTACCCATTTTTAGATGGTAGATCAACAGTGTATCCTTTTTGTATATAAAGGAGCATAGTATCTTTCCCTTAAGTGGTATACTTTGCTATTGTTACATATGTGCTATCTGAGACTGTTTAGTTGCTATGTATGTAAATATTAGGAACCCCGGTGGTGCAGTGGTTAAGTTTTCAGCTGCTAACTGGAAGGTGAGCAGTTTAAACCCACAGCCACTCCGCAGGAGAAGGATGCAGCAATCTGCTCCCATAAAGATTTACAGCCTTGGAAACCCTATGGGGCAGTTCTACTCTGTCCTATAGAGTCGGTATGAGTCGGAATTCAACTCCAACAGTCTGGGGAGGGGGGGAGAAGAGGGCATGTATATATATTTCATTCATAATTAATGTATATATTCCATATTCTTTAATTCTGCATGACAAACTTTCTGGATGTTAGTAAAAGCAGCTCCCCTCAGACACTTTTCAGACCTGAATTGAGCACAGGGTCTCAAAGCTGTTTCTCACTATGAAGCAATGCAGGAGCAAAAGGTATCATCATGTGGTTCAAATGATGTTTAGCTATTTCCTAGAACTTAACTGACAACATTTATATACTCTTTTATTATAAAAAGAAAAATTTGTTTAAGTTTTGAGTAATCAGAGGGCTATCATTCACAGATATTAAAAAATTCAAGCTACTATTTAGTTAGTTTTCTTTTAATTCCTGCTTTTCCCTTAACACATTGAGGCTATGTTAGCTTTGTGTTTCTTCTGATTTATTAATGTTGTTTTCATCATTTCACTGTACTTGTCTTCTGTCCTCAAGATTTCATTAAGTCTGCTAATTAAGACAGCCACTACAGTCTTCCTATAGATGTTTTGGTCAGCACTTACTGACTTTCCTCCCTCCCTTAAAAAAAAAAAAAAAAAAAAAATTTAGGGCCTAATGAGTTGAGGGCTTACCAACAGCAGTGAAGTTCCTGATCCCAGTCACATAAGTGATCAGTATGTGTCTTAGCCTTCACATCTCTCTGAACAGAGTTTTAACAAATACTTTTTTTCTTCATATTATGGTGGCAGGTGAAGTTTTGGTCCCAACACATTTCCTTCATTCTGGTTGGAATAATCATTGTCACATCTATCAGAGGATTGCTGATCACTCTCACCAAGGTATAATGTATCACAATGTCAAGAAGTATTTGTCATTTGTTTAATTACATATGGTACCATGAGATAATTTTACCTAATTAAGATTCCTGCCTTCTGATGTCTTAGAAAACATAGTAAAATATCTAAGACATACAACAGAATAAAAAAAAAATTGACACATAAATTGATATATCTACATCATACACCAATTATAGATAAGTTCATTTACCAAAGGTAATAGAATGAGAGCAGTATCTGTTTTGTTCACTGATGTCACCAGCATTTGGAACATAATCTGGCACTGCAGGTCCTCAGCAGATCTCTGGAATGAGTGAGATAGAAGATAGTGAGATTAGAAGAATAACTGAGAGTCATTTGTAGAAAGGATATGGAAGTAGGGGAAACATGTTCAGCTGCTTTCCAGTCAACATAGGACTGCTTCATGGAGGTAGAAGGTGAAGGCTTTTCTGGTAGAAAAAGTCGGGATTTCAAGATCCAAGAGCTGTTTGAATGAAAGGAAAGAAGACGTTGGGAGGGAACGGTATCTCCAGGCATCTACCACAATTTTGGAAAGTGCTCAGGAGCTGGTAACAGTTACAAGGACTTAGAGTGGTCTGGAATCTTCTATTTTAATGTTTATAGTGATGTTAAAGTCATATGCATCACATAGTTCCTGAAGGTTTGATAGGAATCCTTTCATATGTCACAGTAATGCTTAAAACCACCAGCTACCTCTATGGGGAAACTATAACTGGATTTCTTTTAGGTAGTCCATTTAGGTCTCTTCTTTATAGCCTTAATCATATGAGTTGTTCTATCCAGATTCTGGCATGAAGAGACATTTTCAGTTAGCCATGTTACTTACTGTTCATGACACAGGAATCTAGCAGTATTGCATGGATTTCTCTCTCCTTCCTTTCTTGACAGTTCTTCTATGCCATCTCCAGCAGTAAGTCCTCCAATGTCATTGTCCTGCTATTAGCACAGATAATGGTAAGTTTGATGAACTAGCTTTATGTTTACAGCTATAACATACGAGAAATGTTTTATACTTTTAAAAATTTTAATGATTTCCTTTGACCTGTTCCTCACTACAAAATGACTTCTGGATTAATTTGTTTGACTTACAGGGCATGTACTTTGTGTCCTCTGTACTGCTGATCCGAATGAGTATGCCTCTAGAATACCGCACCATAATCACTGAAGTTCTTGGAGAACTGCAGTTCAACTTCTATCACCGTTGGTTTGATGTGATCTTCCTGGTCAGCGCTCTCTCCAGCATACTGTTCCTCTATTTGGCTCACAAACAGGCACCAGAGAAGCACATGGCACCTTGAACTCATGCTTATCAGACTGCTAAAAGCCAGTGGTGTCAGAATTTGAATATAAGAGGAGAAAAATGGAAAGGACCAGATCCTAATTTTTTTTTTAAACAAATCTCTGTAGCAGCATATTGTACCTCTAGCCTAAGCCTTCCTTCTCATGATACTGTGATCATGAGTTGTGTCACCTCAAACATGAGAGAAAGTAACTCAAGCCAGCACTCGGTAGGTTTAAGGCTGGTGCCGGGGGGAGGCAGTGAAAAGAGCCGAAAACTAAGAAAAAAATGCACTGGAACTCTGGGATAGGAGACATCTAGGTGGTGAAGTGTTTAAGAGTTTGGCTGCTAACCAAAAGGTCAGCAGTTTGAATCTACCAGCCACTCCTTGGAAACCCTATGGGGCAGTTCTACTCTGTCCTGTTGTGTCACTATGAGTCGGAATCAACTTGATGGCAACAGATTTGGTTTTCTGGGTTTAAGATACCTGTGCCAAGCACTAAGTATTTCTGTTTTAAGTCAAGGTTCAAATGGAGACGGTCATGACTTTCCCTTGAGTTTGACTGTCATTAAAATCAGAGATTGTTTAACACTTTGGCCTTTTCTTTTAAGCTCCTTAGGTTCATTTTATCAAGCATCAGTATATGCTGTGCTCATATGATCTAACATGAACTGGCATGCTACTCCTGCTCTTCCCACTCCCTACACCATTAAAATCACCAAGAGGTTATCTATTCTTTTCTTGGGGAGGGATGCTATGCAACTGAAGGAGAGCCTGCCAAAAAGAGACTTACAAGCATGTCATTTTTATTGATTTCCTTTTAACTTAGAGTTACTGAAGAGTGAATACTCTACATTCAGCTGAGTGATGACACCTTTTCACATTTTTTATTTCCATCTTCCCCTCATGCTGTGGGGTAAAACAGTGAATAACTGTTAACTAGGACAAGTTACATTACTATCCTGGGACTCATTTTCTTTATCTGTGTAAAAATGGTGGTGTGGGGGTGTCAGACCTCCTCATCTAGCTTAACAAGGTGGGAGGAGAATCATTATCAGTATCAACAGCCCAAGGCTGATTGCTGTGAGGTGGAGGTCAGTCATACCTCCACTCTCCAACCTTTTTACCAGTTCTGACAACCATCCCTCCTATGGCATTCTCTACTTCTCTGCTGGGTTTGATAATTGATTGCAATGGCCACACAGAACTCACAGACCATACTCACAGTTATGGGGTTTATTAGGGAAGTAACAGGTTACAATTCAGGATCAGGAACAATTCAGGATACAGTTCTTGGATCAGGACAGCCTCTTCTCAGCCATGCCTGCAGGCAGGCCTCTCTCTGGCCCTTGGCCCCTCAGCTCAGCCTCTGCCCTGCGTGGGGGCAAGTGCTACAAAGCTCTTTAGCTCTGCCAGTAAGTGCCCAGGGTCACCCCACTCTGCCAGTAAGCTTCAGCCCAAAGGCACTCAGCTCTCTCATGGGTCAGCAAGCCTAGCTTTGCCAAGGACCCAGAGGCACCCTACTCTACCAGGAAGCCTCCTGCCCGAAGGCACACAACTCTCTCACTCCGTGGGCCAGCTCCCCCAGTGTAGCTGTCTCACTCCGTGGGCCAGGAAGCCCACCACATCATCTTGTGCCAGTCTCCTTAATTCTGCCATTTTTCTGCCACTGTTTCTTGCTATCTTATGCTGTCTCCAGTGTTACAGCTCTGTCTCCCTGGGTCTAAGGTTCTCAGTACAGGGTCCCCAGGTCCAGGTCCACTCTTGTCTCTTCTTGGTGATAGGGTGAGCGCCCCCCTTTCTGCCTCTGGGATGGCTCATTTTAAACCTAGCGGGCTGGCAAAACTGACCAATCCCCTCATTAGGGTCCTATACACCTTATTTCCATGGTCCCATTCCAATAAGGGTGCCATGCACCTTATTTGTATTACTAGCAAGCTGTCCAATCCCCTTGGTGGGCCACAGGCACCTTACTTGCATAGTCCCACCCAATCTTTTGGTGTGAGTTAAAAGACCATGGCTAGATAAGGCCATATAAAAGCAATTCATAGTGCTGCAATCCAGAAAATGAAGATGTTGGAAAATTTGTAGTATCCTCAGAAATGCCATTTTAAAAAATCCTGAAACTGCATTACTGGAAGTCTTTTTATTACTGAGGTTTCATTGTTGCATGCCTTTGGGTTTCTAAAGGCATGAGAACAAATGAAGGTAAAAGCACTAAAAGTTTACCAAAATCAAAAGCACTATTAAGGTCATACCAGCTAACAGAAAGTTCACACATAGGCAAAAGGCATTTTTAATGATATTTATTCTAGCAACCAAAACATTCTTATAAAAGCATAATTTTAATAGGCTTATCTGCTCAGACTTTAATTAGCTCTCTCACATAAACAGATTTATGAATCATCTTTGGTGCTCAAGGAGCCTATAGCAGTGAGAGGTATCATCATACCAGGGAATGTAATTACATTGAAGCTTGAAAGATCACAAAAGTTGACCATAAATAAACCATCTGCAATCGTCACCCATAAAACAAATGACAACAGAAGACAATCATGCAAGAACCGGTTTCCAGAGGAGTTCTTCTCTAACAGAGACAGAAAACGGATTCCTATTAAATATACCAGACAATGTCATCATTTGTTCTCATCACATTATTGTATCTTCAGAACTGGAAGAAGAGTGAGAGGCTGTACTGTGGGCCTGTGCAAAAGATAACAAAGGAGTTGTAAGTGGTAGAGAGTACACACAGGAGATGAACACTCTAGAGCTGCATGACATAAGTTAGGGAATAGAGGCACTCACTGGAAGCCAGATGACCAGAATTCTACACTTGGGTTGGTTTCCAACTTGCTGTTTGACACATTAACAAGTTTGTTACTGCCTACATATGTTTTTCTCTAAAACTAGCATAATACTATAACTGACTTCCTATAGGGGTATTACAGAATTTTTAAAAGACAACTGGAATATTTTCTTCACAGAGCAATCCAAAGTATAAGGTCAATAGCTAGTGTATGTCTTCATAAAAATCAATATTTGTTATTTATATCACCAATCAGTATAGTTAAATTGATATACTGAAAAAATACTGAATTAAACTTTTAGAGATCTGGCTTTGCTGTAAATTCCTTTATGAACTTGGATAAGTCAGTTCACTTTTGAACTTAAAGTTCATCTATGAAAAGAAATGGAATAAAAATATAAAACTGAGGCTTACCAAAGAATTTATCTAATCCAAATATATAGAGAATAATGTTTAGTTTTTCCTAGTATTAAAATTTTTAATACCTGCCAATTAATACTGTCTCCAGCTACCACCATTCATGTTCATGTTTACTATGAACCAGGTACCATTCCAAACACTTTAATAGTATTAGTTAATATAATCCTCAGAACAGCCCTTCAAATTGTGCCTGTTTTATAGATGGGGAAACTGAGGCACAAAGACAATAAATTAATTTGCGCAAGTCTAGTAAGTGACAGAACCAGAATTTGTACCTAGATAGTCAGATTCAGGTTCTTCTGATGGTACCCACTATAATTTTGATAAATTTCTTACTTTTAATTTTTGACTTATCAACTCTTGACAGTAACTGTCAACTCCATGCTATGAAAAGAAATGTGTTGTCCTTATACTGCTATACCTCTCCCTCACAACACCTCAATTTGATAGTTATCTTTCCATTGTCATTTTCTATTACTTTAGGAAATCTGTGGTAAGCACAGACATGAGGTACAGTTATTCAAGACTATACCGTACTCCGGTAAGTTAGATCACTAAAACAAATGTATTACTGCTTACTTGTTCCTTTGCTGTGTGAGAGTTGTCCTCTGACTCTGCCAGTGTTTTTTCTTTGGAGTCAGGGGGAGCATCCAATGGATCAGCCATGGAAGCAACAATAGGGATTTTCTTAGCCTGGAAATAATCATAGGCCTTCTTTCCACAGACTAAGAGTATGACATTCTTCCCACTGCTCTGGATTCTGTCCACCACCTTCTCATAGGGTTCATCCTGCACATTCACCCCATTCACTTCGATGATGATATCCTCATCTTCCAGCCCGGCCAGGTCAGCAGGGCTGCCCTTCTGTACCTGTGAACAGATGTTCTGAGTTAATTCCGAACACAGATGAGGGCTTAGACTAGCTTCCCTTCAGGAGATAGATGAGAGTTTGTTTGAGAATTTATTCTTAACCATGTTATTTTCCCTTGAGGTACAGAAGAAAGGTACTCTAACGCTCAGATGAGGAGTGTGACAAACAGTGGTTGAATATCATATTGTGTGTCTTCTGGGCTGCAGGCATTAGGTTTTATAGTCCCCCCACCCACCCCCGGCTTCATTCCCAGCTTGAGCCTCTCTCTAGCTGTCTACTGGGAAGGGGCATTATGCCAAATGCAGAGTAAACAAGTGTCACTCCCATCAGGGTTGATAGTCGGCTAGAGTCATGTTAACTTACTCTGTTTATTTGATTTGAAAATATCTAGAGAGATAATTAGGTAGAACAAATGTTTGGGAAATAAAGAGATGAGCTTGCCATGTACAAGTAGCTAACTAAAGGATACAGGTCCACAGACTAAGAGTATGACATTCTTCCCACTGCTCTGGATTCTGTCCACCACCTTCCATAGGGTTCATCCTGCACATTCACCCCATTAATCTGAGTCCAAGTGAGACCGAATAATAACCTCAAAATAACCTTTTCACTGAGCTATCAGTGGTGGGAGAAGAGACTGTAATTGTGGCCTCCCTGCTACTGGCTGTGTTAGATGGGCTGCTGGAACAAGATTACCATACCTCTTTGGCGAATGAGCCTGGCAGATCCTGAATTGCATTTAAGTGAAAGCCATAGCCATTTTCACCTTTAACCAGCCTGCAGAGTTTAGGCTTCTGATCTACTTCCTCTGCAGTATCTGAGCTTGTGACCTCCAGAGGAGCAGGAGTCGTTGCTGGAACCTCCTTGACAGAATCATTGGGTAATTCTTGACTTTGATAGTAGAGAAATGGAGAAAAATGAGCCTTTTGAAAATAAAGAAAAAACATTTGCCTTAATTGTAAGTATGAGTAGTTCTACTTTATTAGATGTACTGGTTTAATTTACGAGGTGACATACACGTTCCACTCTTCTGGATATACCTGACTGTGGACTTTAACATTACTGTCCTAACCAGAAAAGGTCTAAAAGAAGATTGAGCTCGGCTATACACAAAACCCAAACAAACCCATTGCCTTTGAGTCAATTCCAACTCGTAGCTACCCTGTAAGACAGAGCAGAACTGCCCCATAGGGTTTCCAAGGAGCAGATGGCGGATTCAAGCTGCCAACCTTTTAGTTTGCAGCCAATCTCAACCACTGTGCCATCAGGGCTTCCCCTATCCTAACCAGAAAAGGTCTAAAAAAGAAGATTTAGTTATACAGTAATATGTATAAACACATACACAAATGCATACATATGCATACAACAGTATAGAATGTTGTACCAGGATCCAAAAAAGATGTAACAGAATTGCTAGTTTCTTCTGATTCTGTAATAGTAAGCAAGTCACAGAACAACCCACAGGCAATCTCCCTTTTGGGAGACCACACACATCTGAGTGACTAGCCCAGAATCTAATGCAAAGTAGTTTCTTCTGGTTCTTCTCTTTCAGAGTTCAGACACATTAGAGAAAGTGAAACACAAGACACTATTCTTTTTTTAATCACTATCTGAAGACTCAGAGCTATCAGAAGAGACCTATTGGGTACACATAGTTATTAATTGGGGATAACGGAGTGGCAGCTATCGTATCGTCATACATGGTAACAAAAGTTAATTCCAATCTTTTGCCACTTGACTCCCCATTCCCCCTAGTCCCTGGCATCTGTTGTACTCAGTTTATTTTACTATTTATTATAAATAATAAATTAGCTGGCTCTTCTGTTATGCCAAACTTCCCACCATCTTTAAATATTTTTAATTCATCTCAGTTCCAAGACCAGCCATGTGAGAAAGACAGATATGGCACTGATGGTCTGGAATATAGAAACATAAAACAGGAAATATGACTTTTTTAAAAGGCTTAAGAGCTCAGCTGGCTGTGAGTTTTAGTTGAGAGGGTTAGAAGGGTAGATGTGGGTATGGCAAGATCCTGGATCAGCAGTTAAATTGCTGTCCACAAGTGTCCAGAACATTTATTAGGTGGTGAATAGAAAATCAAGCAATTGAAGGTAAGCCCAGTGTGTGCTCTGCCCCCAGTCACACTGTTCAGGAAGCCTGGCTAAAATTAGATTTGGGGCCTCATAGTTAACATCTTCTTGCTAACCACAAGACCACATCTCCTTCCGTTCTAAATGAGAATAGCACCAGCTCACAACCTCCTAGCTACCCAATTCAACTAACTTCAGACCCTTTCAGTAATATACTTGCAAAGTTCTACATTGATACCTTCTTACATTTTAAAGAGAGAAAGACATCAAAGTAACTCATTACAGTGCAAAAACAGCTCTGATAACCCTACCTCAATGAGCACATCAACTGTATCTAACTGCAGCAGCTAATCTTGAGGCAAAGTACAATAACAGTAAGGTTTAAACACTCTATGTAAAGTAAAAGTTAAATATTGTCACCTAAGTGGCATTAAGTTTAAACACTTAATGAGTTTTCATTCATTCTTCATTCAAATATTTGAGTGTTAATATGTGCTAGGAACTGTTCTGGGTATTTGTCTATTTTATTAACTGATATATCTCAAAGATCCAAACCATGGAGCTTACTTTAAAGGATAGGGGAGAGAGGTAGAGGGCAGGTATCTTTTTAGATCAAAGTTCTCACTTATATTAACCAAAACTGAAAAAATAGAAGCGGCCATCTAAGATACTCCACTGGTCTCACTCCATCTGGAGCAAGGGAGAATGAGGAAAACCAAAGACACAATGGAAAGATTAGTCCAAAGGACTAATGGACCACAACTACCACAACCCCCACCAAATTGAGTCTCGCACAACTAGATGGTGCCCGGCTACCATCACTGACTGCTCTGACAGGGATCACAACAGAGGGTCCCAGACAGAGCTGAGAAAAATGTAGGACAAAATTCTAACTCACAAAAAAAGACCAGACTTACTGGTCTGACAGAGACTGGAGAAATCCCTACAGTATGGTCCCCAGTACCGTTTTAGCACAGTAATGAAGTCACTCCCAAGGTTCACCCTTCAGCCAAAGATTAGACGGGCCCGTAAAACAAAACGACACTAAAGGGGCACACCAGCCCAGGGACAAGGACTAGAAGGCAGCAGGGGACAGGACAAGGTCAAGAAGGGAGAATGTTGACATGTTATGGGGTTGGCAACCAATGTCACAAAACAATATGTGTATTAATTGTTTAGTGAGAAACTAATTTGCTCTGCAAACTATCTAAAACACAATTAAAAAAAAAAACTGAAACATAGATCACTATGAACATCCTGTCATAAGTCATAAGATCAGGAGGAGTTAGAAAGGATTTGATGCCAGAATCCCCTTTCAACAGCCTAAGCAGTGACCTTCCAACTTCTGCTTAATCTTATCCACCAAAGGGAAGCTAGCCACTTTGCAGATATGACTCATCCCATTGCTAGCAGCTTCAGTTGTTCTTAAAATAAAAGCTAGCTCCCTGTACCTTGTCTATTTGGTCAAGCTCTGCCCATAGAACACCTCAAAAAAAAGTCTAGTCTGCACACATGTGATAGTCTTTCAAATCCTTGAAAATGCTTTCCTTTCTTCCCCAAACCTAGGCTTTTTCAAGTGAAACATTCACATGGTGGCTTCCAAAACCTCTGCCCTGGTTACCTTTCTGATCACTGGCCTTCTTAAAGTGAAGTTCTCAGAACTGGTTTTAGTTTTAAATCATAAAACTAATATTCAATAAACATAGCATTATGTGTGCCAGGCATTATTCTGAACACTCTAACTCATTTAAACCTCATCACCACCTTTCAGTTAGCTACCACCATTTTACAACACAGAAAACTGAGGCACAGAGAGGATAACTCACCCAAGGTCACGTTACTAGTAATTCCAAGTACAGTCTTACCAACTCAGTACAGTAAGGCAATCATCTTCAGAAACCAAATGTCAATTAATGCAAGTTTAAATTGCCTTTTTTGGGTGAAGGCAACTACTTCAAGTATCATCAAGCTTCTAAACTTTTGTTAGAATTATCAAATTAGGTCTCACCATTTGGTATTAATTTACTTTTAAATTAGTATAGTACTTAAAGTTTTATTCCTGTTTAAATTTAATCATGTTAGTTTAGACTATCATGACTAGATATTTTGAATGTTATATTGTTGTTGTTGTTGTTAGGTGCCGTGAAGTTGGTTCCAACTCCTAGCGACCCTATGTACAACAGAACAAAACACTGCCCAGTCCTGTGCCATCCTCACAATCGTTATGTTTGAGCACATTGTTGCATCCACTGTGTCAGTGGGTCTTCTTCTCGAGGGTCTTCCTCTTTTTCACTGACTCTCTACTTTACAAAGCATGATATCATTTTCCAGGGACTGGTTCCTCCTATAACATGTCCAAAGTAGGTGAAACCAAGTCTTGCCATCCTTGCTTCAAAGGAGCACTAGGAATATTATACTCTGCAGTAAATTAATTTTCCATCAGTGCTTTAGGTCATCTGAAAGTATGTTAACTTGCTTTCTGTGTCTCCATCCAAATATGATTAATAAACTAGCTTAGGATAAGAACAAGTAGCATGCCATTAGAGTTCTCTGTTCAGGCTGACATTGTTCTAACATCAAGTATTCTTTAGGTTTGGTTGTTCAACTAGCTAAAAATCTATTAATTTTCTATCATCTAGGTCACATTTTAATCTTGTTTACATAAGTATCTTGAAATTATCTAATCAAAACATCCCACTAGAAGGTAGTATGGTACAATGAATTAAGAGTCCAAGAACTTGAGTTCAAATTCTGGCTTCACTCTTTACTAAGCTGTGTGACTTTAGCAAATCACCTAGTCTAAGCTTTAGTTTCCTAATCTATAAAAAGGGGTTAATACTCTTCCCTATAATATTTCTCCCTCTGTCATTCATGTACCTTTGAATTCTTCTATTGTATATCACATAGAACAAGAACCATCGACCTTGTTCTTCTCTGTGACCAACACCTAGTAAGGCAGATGGTTAACTTAAAGGCATAATGAAAGTTACTCTCATCTTTCTCTTTCTTCCTTCTGTGTCTTGCTATACTAGGTTTATGTTTTAATCAAAATACAAACAAATAGTAATGATATTTTAATAGATAATATAGTAGACTGAGAACTGGACACAAAATCTTTGTTTTCCATCTACAAAGGAAAAACTCCCATCTGACTTGGTACTACGTGGTAGATGAAAAGGACAAATAAAACAACAGGGATAATGAACTTGCTTGTAAATTGTGAACAGATGTTGCTGATAGCGTCCATGTAGTCTTGAGATTCCAAGGGCATGGATGGACAAGGAGGGAGGGTTCCAATGAGGGTTGGTTTGGCATGAAATCTAGGTTTCTTGTCCTACCTAAAGTTGTTGCCATATGGGCTGTCAATGCCAGCTAGCTTCCCTACTTGAAAAGGTAAAAGCTCATTAATACAGGATGAGGGGGTCCATGTGATAATAATTCCAGATAGAAAACAAGAAAGTTCAAGAAGGGAGAGAAAAATGAAAAATGCAGTATTAGAGGTTGGCAAGTGGAAGATTTGTTCCATTGCTGGTGTAGAAAAGACATGAACAGGTTCTTCCTTTGAGGGTGAAAATAAAACTTCTAAAGAAGTATAAGCTTGAACTAGTTTGTAGTTAGAAACCATGCTCTGGGAAAATGCGTATAACCTCTTGAAAGTTTTAACAGCCACGAGAGAAAGGAAAAGTAGGTATTTTAAAATGTAAGTTCCTTTGAATCATTTGGAAGTTTCCAAATTCTTACCCTGGGATACTATCAACCCAAATCATTAATAAAAAACCATGAATATTAATCAAATTCGTAAGAGTAGATTATTTAAGTGTCTTAATCTAATTAGCAATTATCATAGCTTATATTAATGAGTAAATCGATGTGATACCATTTTCTCCCAATTAGTTGAGGTCTAAAAACACCCAAGACTGGTATACAACCAAAGAGAAGCTGGCTCCAAGGCATTAAGTAAATTAAATATTGACTATATATACAATATTGAAGAAGAAATGAGGCAGCTGCTCTTAGAAACCAATGTAACTGCTTGGCCAATGTAAACACTTCCCTGTCCTGCGCCATCCTCACAATCTTTGGTATGTTTGAGCCCACTGTTGCAGCCACTGTCAATCCGTCTCATTGAAGGTCATCCTCGTTTTCACTGACCTTCTGCTTTACCAAGCATAATGTCCTTCTCCAGGGACTGGTCCCTCCTGGTAACTTGTCCCAAGTATGGGAGACAAAGTCTCGCCATCATCACTTCTAAGGAGCATTCTGGCTGTATTTCTTCCAAGACATATTTGTTCATTCTTCTGGCAGTCCGTGATATATTCAAAATTCTTTGCCAACACCATAATTCAAACACGTCAATTCTTTTTCAGTCTTCCTATATACCATATTTTTACACAAATAACGCATGCCTTCTAAATTTGTTTGCCAACTGCTCCCTCCTCCAAGTATTTTCTTAAGCACCCTATGCTAATTGTTTTACGAGTTGCTGTAAAAAAAAAAAAAAAAATTAGCATAGAGAGCTTCAAAGATACTCAAGGGAGAGGGAGCCATTGGCTTAAAAAAACAGTACTCTAAATATAGTGGTGGTTATTGATAAGCTGTAAAAGATGAAGAGACTGGAGGAAAGGAACTTATATTTGAATGTTTATTGGGTACTAGATATTTGGCATTCATAACTTCTTTCAATCTGTATCCTGCCAGACAGTTATTAACATCACAATTTTGTAAGTGAGAAAAGAGAAGGCTGGGCAAATTGCCTACGGCCACAGAACCACTAAGTGGTTAAACTCAGATTTAGTTCTGTCTGACTCCAAATCCCATGTACTTTCCATTATACCATCTTATTATTTATTTTTTTGTTTGTTTGTTTCCATTCTCTATTAGAGGTGATGGGTGTTCTTCAAACTGGAAGGGGCATAACAATCATCATTAAAGCTAAATAGAAACTCAAATTGGTAGTGATAAGAGAATGCCAAGTGATTGATAAATGAGTGTAGGCCCTTAGACTGATTTTTGAAAGATTTTGCAAATACAACTGTAGAATTACTCTTGATGCTCTGAGAAAACTTATGGAGAACAGGAGCCTGGAAATAGGCAGATGAAGCCCTAACTTTCAAAAATAGGAACAATTGGAGTTTAAACTTTAGACGAGTAAATTTATTAATTCCATGTAAAAGTCTAGAAATGATTAGTAAACAGCTTATAAACCCTTAGCATAAGGAGTAGAAATGCAGATTCACCATGACCAAGTTGTATGAAACTAACCTTACTTCCTCTTACTAACTCTTAATCCTATTAGCTTCTATCTGCATGTTTTAAGGTTTTATTAACACTTTTGTTTTATTGTACATTCCTCACAAGAACTGAGGTTTAGTTTAACAGATATCTGAGGGCCTTATAAGAGGCACACATTTACATTGGAACTCCACGGAAGTTATTTTTGTTAAGATGAAAGCCACTGTTTGGGGAAACATGAGATTCCAATAGTGGACACAGCTACCTGGATCTCTTAGGAACCAACATCTCACCCTCTGGCCTCTGTCTAGGCTCATCACTCTTACCCTCAATCCTCCTGCCCCCTTTCATCCAGATACCCAGCTCCTCCACCCTTTTATCATCTTCCAATATCAGTTACCTCCCCATCCCTAGTCAGCCTTGATCCTGTGATCAGTCACTTCAACCACTCTTGCCAACATTTAACTCCACCTGGCTGTTTTATACACCTGAAAATAATTCCCAGTCCTGAATCAGTCCAGCTGTCTGCCTTCACTCCTATGCTGGGGCTAAACAACCTAAACATATCAACTGGTACCAGTAGAAACTTGGTCTCCAACCTCAACAGGACTGTCAGCCCTACTGAGCAATCCTGTGTTCTATTCATCTTTGTCTATTTTTCACAACAGTTATTTCAAAATTGTATCGATCTCTAAATTCCTTGACTACCAACTGCCTCCCAACCCCCCACCCCATTCTCAGCAAATGAGCGCGTGTTTTATTTCAGGGAAAAAGAAACTGAGTGGAAACTCTTATTTCCTGTTCCTCTCTTTTATCTCCTTTTTCTTCTAACTGTGATCTCAATTCTATCATTTTGTATATCCTCAGGAGCCTCACTCTCTTCCCAGAATCTTTAACCTCTTTTTACTGGTTCATTCTCTTCTATGGAAATACTCATGTACCTACCATCTTAAGAAAAAAGTCTTCCCAACTTAAATTCTCTTCTAGCCACTGCTCTACATCTCTTCTTCACAATTAAGCATCTTGAAACCAAACAAAAAGTAGTCTACACTCAGTCTTTACTTACCATCCATTCACTCTGTATTCTCTTTTGCCCCCACCATTCTATTGAAACTATTCTTTCCCGTGCCTTCATCATAGCTAATTCCAACAGAAAAGTTGTTCTCCTTATTCAGTCTCTATCCAGTGTTTAATTCTGTTGCATACTCCCTCTCCTCCTTGATGTCCACCCCCCTGACTTCGAAGTACCTTACTTGGTTCTTGCCTCCTCCAAAACTCTTCTTTCCCAGGCTCTTTCATTTACCACTTACCTTCTCTGCCCACCCCTTTCAGCATGTCTGTGCTCCAGAGTTCTGTCTTCAGTGCACATACCCTCCTAGGGAGCTCATCAAATCCTATGCCTTTAATTACAACCTATATGCTGAGGACCCCGAATCTGCATCTATAGTCCAAATCTTTCTCCTAAATGCCAGACCTGTACATTCTTCGCTAACAACTGGACAGCTTCATTTCAACCTCCCACTAACACTTCTCAAAACAATATCTCCAACCTTCAGCTAAAGTCTGAATTCCCTATACCTTTCTAGTCTCATAACATTTTCCTCTCCAGCCACACTGAAGTTCCTGTTCTTCTCCAAATGAACTACATTCCATCACAGTTTACATGCTGCTCCCTTTATTTGGGGCACTTCATAGTAATCCCCCCTATACCTAACACCTGTTTTTTTCCAGATCACTTCACATATTACCTTGTTCAGAAGCCTTGTAGTCTGGATTAGGTGAACTGTGTGCTCTTGAGATACCTTATGCATCTATCACAGCATTTATCAATTTTCTTCTTAAATCGTCAAAATTTAGGTCTGTCTACACCCACTAAACTGAATTTAGGCCATAACCTAGTCTGAATACCCTTGGCGATGGGCACAAAGTAATAACCGGAGTTTGAGAGAATGAATAAATGGGTCAAACATTAACACATGAATATGAGGCCTTGTATTACTTACCAGTCTATACATGTTGTCTGTCTCCTTGTCTATCACCAACAGTGAAGTCTTATCTCCACCCTTCCTAATCATTTCCACCACACTGTCATGATCAAGGGCTTCCACAGACTCGCCATTGACAGCAACTAGCAGATCATTGTTCTTCAGGCCAGCCTCCTCTGCTGGGCTTCCAGAATCTATGTCTTTGATGATTTGACCTACCCCCCCTGCCAAAAAATATATATATATATATCAAAAAGTCTTCTAAAGCTCCTTCAAACAAACAGAGTTTCTGCTGGAACCCAAAGCCATAGTGAAATAAATATAAAAGGCATGCTGAATGCAACTACTCTCCCTCCTACTGGCATGCCAGGAAGCCTATAAGCACCTTATCCTGCCTCACTCCCTGCTCAGAACTCACTCCAGGGACAAATCCTATCATTAACAATGAAATGATTTTTTTTTATCTTTTTTTTTTTTTTTTCCGAAATTTGTACTTTAGATGAAGCTTTACAGAACAAACTAGCTTCTCATTAAACAGTTAGTCCATATATTGTTTTATGACATAGGTTAACAACCCCATGACATGTCAGTACTCTCCCTTCTCGACCTTGGGTTCCCTATTACCAGCTTTCCTGTCGCCTGCTGCCTTCTAGTCCTTGCCCCTGGGCTGGTGTGCCCCTTTAATCTCATTTTGTCGTATGGGTCTGTCTAATCTTTGGCTAAAAGGTGAACCTCTGGAGTGACTTCATTACTGAGCTAAAAGGGTGTCGGGGGCCATACTCTCCAGTCTCTGTCAGGCCAGTAAGTCTGGTCTTTTTTTGAGTTAGAATTTTGTTCTACATTTTCTCCAGCTCTGTCTGGGACCCGCTGTTTTGATCCCTGTCAGAGCAGTCAGTGGTGGTAGCTGGGCACCATCTAGTTGTACTGGACTCAGTCTGGTGGAGGCTGTGGTAGTCGTGGTCTGTTAGTCCTTTGGACTAATCTTTCCCTTGTGTCTTTAATTTTCTTTATTTTCCCTTGCTCCTGAAGGGGTGAGACCAGGGGAATCTCTCAGATGGCCGTTCACAGGCTTTTAAGATGCCAGATGCTACTTACCAAAGTAGAATGTAGAAAATTTTCTTTATAAACTATGATATGCGAGTTGAGCTAGATGTTCCCTGAGACCATGGTCCTCACAGTCCTCAGCCCAGTAATTTAGTCCCTAAGGTAGTTTGGATTTCTCCATGGAGTATCCATGACCTTACCCTGAACAAATTGAGCTGGTTTCCCAGCATTGTGTACTGTCTTACCCTTCACCAAAGTTACCACTTAATCTATTGTCTATTTAGTGTTTTTCCATCCCAACTCCTCCCCTCCGATGTAACCATCATAGATTGTTTTTCTGTGTGTAAACCTTTTCATGAGTTTTTACAGTAGTGGTCGCATACAATATTTGCCCTTTTGTGATTGACTTATTTCACTCAGCATAATGCCCCCCAGATTCATTCATGTTGTGAGATGCTTCACAGATTCATCATTGTTCTTTATCATTGCATACTACTCCATTGTGTGTATGTACCATAGTTTGTTTATCCATTCATCTGTTGATGGGCACCTAGGTTGTTTCCATCTTTTTGCTATTGTGAACAATGCTGCAATGAACATGGGTGTGCATCTGTCTATTCGTGTGATGGCTCTTATTTCTCTAGGATATATTCTTAGGAGTGAGATTGCTGGATCATATGGTATTTCTCTTTCTAGCTTTCTAAGGAAGCACCATATCGTTTTCCAAAATGGTTGGACCATTTTGCATTCCCACCAGCAGCGGGTAAGAGTTTTAATCTCCCCACGGCCTCCTCAACATTTGTTATTTTCTGTTTTTTTGATTCGTGCCAGTAATGGTGGGGTGAGATGCTATCTCGTTGTGGTTTTGATTTGCATTTCTCTAATGGCTAGCGATCAAGAGCATTTCCTCATGTGTCTGTTAGCCACTTGAATGTCTTCTTTGGTAAAGTGTCTGTTCATTTCCTTTGCCCATTTTTTAACTGAATTATTTGTCTTTTTGTTGTAGAGGTGTTGGATTTTCCTGTAGATTTTAGAGATTAGATCTTTGTTGGATTTGTAATAGCCAAAAATTTTTTCCCAGTCTGTAGGTTCTCTTTTTACTCTTTTGGTGAAGTCTTTTGATGAGCATAAGTGTTTAATTTTTAGATGATCCTAGTTATCTAGGTTATGTTATGGAGTTTCTATGTTGTTAGTTATGGTTTATATCCTATTAATGCTGTGTATTAGGCTCTCTAGCATTGATCCTAGTTTTTCTTCTATAATCTTTAAAGTTTTTGGTTTTATATTTAGGTCTTTGATCCATTTTGAATTAGTTTTTGTATATGATGTGAGGTATGGGTCCTGTTTCATTTTTTTGCAGATAGACATTCAATTTTGCCAGCACCATTTGTTAAAAAGACCGTCTTTTCCCCATCTAATGGACTTTGGGCCCTTGTCAAAGATCAGGTGACCGAAGGTGGATGGATTTACATCTAGGTTCTCAATTCTGTTCCATTGGTCAATGTATCTGTTGTTGTACCAGTACCAGGCTGTTTTGATTACTGTAGCAGTATTGTAGGTTCTGAGGTAACGTAGTGAGAGTCCTCCTACTTTATTCTTCTTCTTCAGTAATGCTTCACATATCCCAGGCCTCTTCCGTCCCCATATAAATTTAATGATTGTTTTTTCCATCTCTTTAAAGAATGTCGCTGGTATTTGGATCGGGATTGCACTGTATTTGTAGATTGCTTTGGGTAGAATTGACATTTTCACACACAATGCTATGTTTTTCCATTTATGTAGATCTCTTTTGGTGTCTTGCAATAGCGTTTCGTAATTTTCTTTGTACAGGTCTTTTACATCCCTGGTTAGATTTATTCCTAAGTGTTTTATTTTTTTAGGGGCTATTATAAATGGTATTGTTTTCCTGATTTCCTTTTCATCATTCTCTTTATTGGTGTATAGGAATCCAAAACTGATTTTTATATGTTTATCTTGTATCCTGCTGCTCTGCTGAATCTGTTAGTTCCAGTAGTTTTCTCGTGCAGTCTTTCAGGTTTTCTATATATTGTATCATATCATCTGTAAATACTGACAGTTTTACTTCTTCTTTACCAGTTTGGATGTCCCTTATTTCTTTTTCTTGCCTTATTGCTCTAGCTAGGACTTCCAGCACAATGTTCAATAGGAATGGTGATAGAGGACATCCTTATCTTTTTTCTGTTCTCAAGGGGAATATTTTCAGCTTCTTTCCATTTAGAATGATGTTGACTGTTGGTTTTGTATAGATGCCCTTCATTATGTTGAGAAATTTCCCTTCTATGCCTATTTTATTGTGAGTTTTTATCAGTAATAGGTGTTGGACTTTGTCGAATGCCTTTTCTGCATCAAGCGAGACGATCATGAGATTCTTTTCTTTCCTTTTATTTATGTGGTGGATTACGTTGATTGATTTTTCTAATGTTGAACCATCCTTTCATACCTGGTATGAATCCTACTTGGTCAGGGTGTATTATTTTTTTGATATGATGCTGAATTCTATTGGCTAGAATTTTGTTGAGAATTTTTGCACCTATATTCATGAGAGATATTGGTGTGTAATTTTCTTTTTTTGTGGCATCTTTGCCTGGTTTTGGTATCAGGGTTATGCTGGCTTCATAAAATGAATTTGGAAGTATCCTTTCCTTTTCTATGTTCTGAAATAATTTGAGTAGTAGTGGTGTAAGCTGTTTTCTGAATGTTTGGTAGAATTCTCCAGTGAAGCCATCTGGACCAGGGCTTCTTTTTGTTGGGAGTTTTTTTTAATTACCTTTTCAATCCCTTCTCTTGTTATGGGTCTGTTCAGATTTTCAACATTAATTTGTGATAGTTTGAGTAGGTAGTGTGTTTCTAGACATTTGTCAATTTCCTCTAGATTTTCAGATTTGTTGGGGTATAGTTTTTCATAATACTGTTATGATCCTTTTTATTTCAGTTGAGTCTGTTGTAATAACCCCAATTTCATTTCTTATTTGGGTTATTTGTGTCCTCTTTTGTTTTTCTTTTGTCCGTTTGGCCAGTGGTTTGTCAATTTTGTTGATTCTTTCTATTGTTTTTCTAGTCTCTATTTCATTTATTTCTGCTCTGATCTTTATTATTTCCTTTCTTCTAGTGGCCGTAGACTTCCTTTGTTGTTCTCTTTTTGTTCAAGTTGTGTAGCTAATGTTTTGATTTTGTCCCTTTCTTCTTTTTTGATGTGTGCATCTATTGCTATAAATTGACCTTTGAGCACTGCCTTTGCTGTGTCCCAAAGGTTTTGGTATGATGTGTTTTCATTCTCATTTGATTTTAGGAATTGTTTTATTCCATCTTTGATTTCCTCTATTACCCGGTGGTTTTTAAGCAGGGTGTTATTCAGTTTCCATGTAATTGATTTTTTTCCCTTGCTCTTCTTGTTGTTAATTTCTACCTTGATGGCGTTGTGATCAGAGAAGACTTTGTGTTATCTCAGTGTTTTGGATTTTGTTGAGGGTTGCTTTGGGGCCTAAGATGTGGTCTATTCCAGAGAATGTTCCATGTGTGTTGGAAAAGAATGCATACTTTGCAGCTGTTGGGTGGAGTGTTTTATATGTCTATGAGTTCAAGTTGGCTGGTTGTGGCCTTTAGATCTTCTATATCTTTGCTGAGTTTCTTTCTAGATGTTCTGTCCTTTACCGAGAGTAATGTGAAGTTTCTTACTATTATAGTGGAACTGTCAATTTCTCTTTTCAGTGCTGTTAAAGTTTATCTATTTTGGAGCCCTGTCATTGGGTGCATAGATATTTATTATGGTTATGTATTCATGCTGGATCACCTTTTTAATCATGATATAGTGCCCTTCTTTGTCTTTTATGGTAGAATTTGTTTTAAAGTCTATTTTATCTGAGATTAGTATTGCCACTCCTGCTCTTTTTTTGGTGGCTGTTTGCTTGATGTATTTTTTTTCCACCCTTTGATTTTTAATAAATTTATGTCTTTGTTTTTAAGGTGTGTCTCTTGTAGACAATATATTGATGGATCCTGTTTTTTTATCCATTCTGTCACTCTCTCTTTATGAGTGCATTTAGGCCATTTATGTTCAGTGTAATTATTGATTGGTGTGAGTTTATCGTCATTTTGTAGCTTTTTTTGTGATGCTGATGATTTCTTTGTTCCTTTTACTCTCCTGTGCTGAATTCCTTTT